TCAGGACGCGGTTAGCATCTGATCTGGAATGTTTAACTACAGACTAATCTGGCCTGCCTATTTAAGGCTGTTTGTGGTAGCCATGACCCCGATGACTGAGACCTCACACAGGCATCTCATTATTAGTTTCGCCATTAAACATTCAAACTCGGGGAAAAAAAAGTCCTTTGTTTCTTTTTGCAGTCGGTGGATAAGGAAGAATCATCATCTGGCTTTGAATTGATCAAAAAGCCTCGACCTGATCGGTCTCTAAAGATGCAGAAGAAATTTACTCTTAAAGCTTCTTTGGAAACAGCTGAGATCCAACCACAGGTATGTGTTGCAATGATGTTAATATGGGCTAATTAATTATCACCAATAGGTGGCGGCTATACATGTATGAATGCACTAGTGTAGATCTCAGAACCTAAGAAGATTAGATGTTCTGATGGCAACTTGTGTTTACAGATCTCTCTTAGACCATTATATGTATATTTCATTACCTTTCATATGAAAGTACTCACTTTGCAACAGAATTTTTGTGGTTTATTTATTTATTAATTTACCAGAGTACGGTCTCTGGTCCGAGTGATGAAACTAATCAGGACATAAGCACACAGCCATGGTGACGGACGTTATGATCCGCTGTATTTCACTCTCTGCTTTAATCTGATGTTTCTGCACAGAAATTAACCTTCAGATATGACGGCTCAGTCCCAAACTTCTACGAGGTGTATATCGGAAACCCAAACCGGACCTTTGATCTTACCCTGCTGTATGCTGAATCAGAAAACAAGGAACAAATTCTAGACCCAGTTTGGACGTGCCAAATTCGAAGAGGTTGGTGCAATTACACATAAATATTCTGTAGTTTTTTAATAGTCCATATGTTAGCTTTTCTTACCTCTGCTTCACCGGGGGTTTCATGCATCTATTGCAGCTTCCTAACTAAAACTTAGTGGTAACAAAACATTTGAAACTTGCACAGTCAGATGTATAAATCTGTGTAAACATGTTAATAGACTCTATATCCAGGTACTGGGGTCAGGATCTGTTCCCTTGCTCACCTGTATTATCGTCCACCATTCAATACAAATGAAAATTATTATAAATACCCAGAATGCTCCCACCATGTGTGAAAATAACCATGGCAACAGTACTGTCAGGCCAACATCGATAGACTAAATCCACAGATTTATTCAGCCGACCAGCAACTGATGACATCAGTGAACGCTGAAGAAAGCAGCTGAAAATATGAAAACCACAACCGAATGGCCTCAAAGATGATATAAAACTACAACAAAAGTTAGGCAACCGCTGGTCGTTATACACATAGACATTACATACGTAGACCCCTTATTGGACACTGGCCAACGTGCCTTGAGGACGCCCATCTCGGATCAGACCACAGTTCAGACAGCTGCAGTCAGAATGAATAGGAGGCTCCTTAGATCTCATTTTATTCACATGAAAGATGAGCCAGAGATAATATAACAATAATCTATTACATGTCACAACCCTTTAAAAGACCAAAAGTAAATTCTAAAATGACCTTTAAGTTAGATTACACATATTCAGATTAAAAAACTATTTAAACTGAACTCAAACTGGATGAAATACATGCAAAGTTATATATTTTGCAATTGAATATTAATGATAAACACAAAGTTTTATGTTAATATATTATAAGATTATGTTTAACAAATATATGTTTATAAAGTATATTATAAATAAAATATTCAGTGTTTTTAAAGATAGCTCTTTGAT